AATAATAATAATAATAATAATAATAATAATAATAATTCGATTGACAACATAATCCTTGCAGTTATCTCAAAAACAATCAATTTTATGCCTTGCTCTAAGGTGCCTTAGTACAATACTAATCCTTAAACAAAAAAGAAAACTTCGATGTCTAAAATTTATCAATGCTTTTAATAATAAAGTACGCTTATTCAATCTGGTCAAAAATCAACTTAAAATAACCCTAGCTCCGGTTCTTGTATTGTCCCAAAAATAGGTCCCAACAATTTAACAACTTCCTCTCAAGTCCTTTACCTCTTACGATAAATGGGTAAATCCAAGATATGTATCATTTGTTAGATATTTTTCATCATTTTGCATGTATTTTTTATTTTTATTTTTGTTTTGTGAATGATTTGTCGCCCCGATTAGTGTTTGCTGCTGCGCAATGGGGATCGACCTGCCCGGTCAAGTCGCGAGGGTCGAGGGGGCAGCGCCTCCGAAAGAGAATTTTATTTTCAAAAGTTTTTAAATATGTGCATCTGTTCGTTTAACTGTTACTTCAAACAGATGTGTTCTTCATTTCAAGGGACACACCTATTCAAACGGTTGCCTCAATTTCTATAAATTCTGGGGCGAATTCTCGTTTGCAAAACACATTAAAAAAATATTCTTCTCTCTTTCTCTTGGCATCATCAGTTCTTTTTCGAGTGTCTTCTTGGTTTGATCAAATAATCACAATTTGAATCAAACGCCTCCATTGTATCCTGAGAGAGATTTTCTATTATACCCCAGTCGTGACTTCGTTGGATAGGGGAGAAACATCTCTTAAAAGATAACATTTTTTTTTCGTGTCTTGAAATTCATTAAGTTTTCAGATTTTTCTACATTTTTCTCAACGTCATGAATTCTACAACAGAAATGATCCTAGTTCCATTCCTTGTATGGACCACTCAAGGTCTGCCACGTGAAGAGGTCAACCCTAATATTTAGGTCAACATTTTGTTATCCTAGGTGGTTAAACATAACTTCGTGATGAAACAAGATGGTAGGGGCGGTATAAGTATGGGAAGAAATTCCATTAGCAATAATTAAGGATTAAGTACTAATTGCATTGAATTTGACACCACCTTGGCTTTGGTGTACGAAGAATAAATAACTTGCATGTTAGCTTATAATCAAATAGTTGCACATCTCCATATAGATTGAAACTCAACTTAATTAATTTTAAGAATCTTGAGGCAGCACAGGTTGTACGTTTATAATTTAATTATTTGTAATGAATTTATTACTTAATTTAGTTAAATTATAGGTTTTAATTAATTCTGCCGGTGGCTGGCGCGCCAGAAACTTGTGTTCGACGAAGCTTCGTTCTAGTTATTTTTATAGATATATATTACAAAACCATGTTTTCGATCATCAACCACACGAGGTGTTGCTTGTCTTTTTGTTAATGCATTATTTTAGGTTAAAAAAGTGGTGGATACATAGTACTGTTTAATAACTTTTATTTAACATTTTTCGAATGAAACAATAATAATTATAATTGTCGTTTTGTTAATGTATTATTAGGTTAAAAAGTGGAGGATATGTAGTACTGTTTAATAACCTTTTTTTTTTTTTATATGCTACGAAATAAAGAAAACTATCAAATATCATAAATCTTGGCCAAGTTATGTTACAATAAAAAATAATAATAATATGGTATTATTGAAATGGATTCTACAGGGTTTTTTTACAATAAAAATAAAAATAATATGGTATTATTGAAATGGATTCTACAGGGTTTTTTTAATGATTAATGAGGAAAGTATTTATGAAGAGTAAATGCTATATATATTTAGAAAAGTGAACAATGTCAAGAATAAATGCTATCGATCTCGTCCAATCAACAATGATAATTATGTGGATATGTCACTTTTATTGTCTCGTCGAATACCTAACGTTAAACTCGAATATTTAATTACTTGTCATATAAAATATATATTTTATGGAAAAATAAAACACCTATTAAAAAAAAAGGATCGGGATCAATCAACGGAGAATTGTGTCCTTGATACGGCATTCAAGATCTATTATTAAAGTCTTAGGTATCAAATAAAATAAAAGGCAATGACAAGATCGACAAAAGTTGATGTTTAGGTTAGGAATTAGCTGAAACATTCATGTGATCACTCGGGTGGGTGATCATCCCTTTCTTTGAGATCAGCTAATGAAATCAAATTGTTAATTGTCTTTATAACAAAAACAAATCTGTCTATTACGTATACATGAAAAATGTTGGAGAAAAGTGAAGCAGAGGTTGGAGAACAAAGCCAAAAAGTAAACAAGTTACGAGATTGTAAATTATTGAACTACAACTGGTTAAGAAATTCAATTTCAATATTTTCTAGTTAAGAACTTGAAGTTAAAAATAAAAAAATATACAGATTGAAAGATTCTGTGGCTCGCCCAGGATTCTTACAAACAGGAATATAATTGTTTTTAGTTTGTTGGGAGACGAGAAGCATGAATGTAGTCATACCCTTTCTTTACTTGAGTATATATAATATTCATTTTTGCATGCATATATTAATTATGAGTTCAAATCTGTATGAAAAAATTATGTAAATGTCCATTAATTTTGATTAAAAAAAATTGTATCTGAGCTATGCGTGAAACGACATGTTAAAATAGTTTTAGAAAAATAAATTTATTCATTATTAATCGTTTTAAACTTTAAAGTAAGATGGTTCAATAATACGAATACTAATATATAAAGTAAAAGGAAGTTAATGTTATTGAAGAATACAAGAAGGAATGCAGTTCATTAGAAAAATTATCTCTAGATCAGGACAGCTGGAAGCTTTGGATTTTTGTGACTAAAAAGTTCGCAATCTAATAATATTTTACAGTGTATGATTAACAAATTAATTTAATATCGTTGTATATTTAATTTCTTTTTTTTTTTTTAAATAATTCAACATGTTTAACATTTAATTATTGAACATTAATGGAAAGGGAATTACTTATCACCAATCACAATTATTTGCACTAAGCGTTTCTTTTCTTCCTTTCACATTTTTTAAGCCAAGTTTAGAACTAGAGAAAGTATGGGTGGCAAAGTAGGATGAAAGTGTAGAAAACATTCATTTTTTCCCCCTTCAATATTAGTAACTATGGTTACTAGTATTTTACTATTTTACGTTGGTTCTCAATGACGGAAATTGTAGTTATGACAAACCTACGATGTTTACATGTAACATAATATTTCGACGATAGTTACTAACTAGTAGAAAAACATTTGTCGCAGTTTAGCGATAGAAAATATGGACGGGTTATTAATTACTAAGACTTTGTTTGGGAAATATTTTTAGGGCCCATATGACAAGACATCTGCTTCTTGTAGAGTTTTTTGTGGAAGATATGTTAGGTAATCTTTCTCTAAAAGTTATTTTAGTTGGACAAAATACTTCTGAAAAATTATTTGAATGGATTTAAAATCAATTTTTTAGTCTCAAAAGTAACTTTTAACTCTTCAAAAATCTATTCAAGCAGACTCTTTGAAAATTGTAATTTACTTCTACTGTCTAGTGAAAGTTTAATTTTAATTTCAACCACTGAGGCTAAATAGTAGTATTCCACATTAGAAACTACTACACATTCATGATTTCCATCACTATTTCTTCTGAAAGTAAATCTTCTTCTGAAGCTAAATATATTTAAAATTTTAGGAATGGAGGAAAAAAAAAGTTTTATTTAAGATGACTTAGGGAGAAAATTTGATTTTGTGATACGGGTCTAAGCAATTATTTAATTTATTGCAAGTAGCGTAATAACGACTGTTTTTTGCGATGATTATTCGTTAGTAATTTTCCCCTCTCACAATGCATGCAAGCTTCGCGTGAATATAAATATTTTCAAATGTAATCTCCACCCCCTATTGTGAGACGTAATAGATAAAGGATTGGATAAAAAAAATTATGTACATGTAATATTGTCCTTATTCTTATTTATTATTCAGATGTGTTCTAAAACATAGATGTTATTGCTTTATTTATGTTCTTATTTTCCAAATAGGAAATAAAGACTAGTAGTCGTAACTAAAAGGTCAATATGCCGGTTAAGAAATTTTTTAAATAAAATTCTAATATATAATAAACCTTAAGAATTATAAAATATAATGAACCAAAATATGTGATGTCAGAAATTTAAATTATTAAAGTTGAATATATAATATTCATTATGAACTTGTTCATAAATATCTCACTTTAGCTTTTAGCTTCTTTTTATTCCCCGAAAATTGCAATTTCTCATATATAATTGAAGCATTGAAATACTCTTTATAAGTCGTTACCATACATTCATCTATTATATATTCCTATCACGATATACCTAAAAATATATTTGTTAGCGTCGTAATAAATTTTAAATGCATTATTGATGAATACCTATTAAATTTCTCTTTTTCTCGCTTTCGTATCCTTATTTTGACTACTATTTTTTTTTTTTATAACAATTTTCAATTGAAAATAACATCTTATAAATGACCAAACATACCATAGCATTATTCTGTGGCTGGGTTTGGCTATTTAACTCTCAATTCAATAGTCATTTAATAGCTTAAAAATTTCAAACATTTAACCTATATAACTAAGTTTCTTATTTTTCGAGCCTACCTAAGAGTTTGGTCCAATTTTTAAAACATTAGTTGCATCCAACCCCACCACCTAAGGCCCCACACCTAGTCGCCGTGCCCAAAATCTGGTGCCCTCTAAGGCAGGGAAAATGCCACTTATCCCGGGCCACATAGGCCATGGTCCATCCATCTTTTCTCACTTTTCTTTTTCTTTCCTTTTCCTATTTATATTATTTTTAATTTCAATTCCGTATCATTTGTTTTCAACTGAAAAATAAAATAAAAAAATCAGCAACAATCCAGTAAGAGTTTTTGTCCACCAGAACTACTTGCATAAAAATAAAATGTTGATGATCAAAATATTGTAGTTTAAACTTTGGGGACCAAAGGCCATAGATGAAGGATGAATGGTACAATTTGTCCTCACATAAGTACAAAATAAGTTCCTATAATTTATTATTCAAATGAGTATAGTTGCTGCTATATAATCACCACTCCGTAATTTCATTCAAACTCCACGCAGAGAATACCACAAGAGAGAGAAGAAGAGAAATCTAGAGAGAGTTCATTTTGGTATAAATGGGAAACAGTTTGAGATGTTGTTTAGCCTGTGTTCTTCCATGTGGAGCCCTAGATTTGATCCGTATAGTACATTTAAATGGCTATGTAGAAGAAATAGCACGTCCGGTCACCGCCGGAGAAGTTCTTAAGAACAACCCAAATCACGTATTGAGTAAACCAAGCTCTCAAGGTGTTGCCCGCCGGATTTTAATCCTGTCGCCGGAGTCCGAGCTTAAGAGAGGCAACATTTATTTCTTGATACCAGCCTCTTCTTTGCCAGCGGAGAAGAAGAGAACCCTCAACCACCTCAAGAAGAATTCTCCCAAGAAAAGCCAAAAATGCAGCTCCGGCGAGTCGGATTTCGATCAATTCGTGCCGGAAAGTCATTCGGAGAAAAAGTCTTCACGCCGGGAACGGAGGAAAGGGAAAGTCGGTGTATGGAGGCCTCATCTTCAGAGCATTTCTGAGGACTAGTTTTTGAAATGCACTGAACTTTTTTCTTCCCCATGTGGGGTTTATTGGTTTTTGTGGATAGTTTTCCTTTTATTTTCATTTTCTCTTCCCTTCTGCATGTAATAATAGCAGATTTGGAATTTTACGGACATTTTTAAAAGCGAAAATTATCTGTTTCCCCCAAGAAACCTATACCGGAGAGAACTTTTACTCAAGAAATTGTACTTTGAGATCAATTCTCCCAAACTGCTTGTTGTCTTGTTCTTCTATTTTTTCTCTATTTGCTTAAGTTCAAATGCAATAAATTTAACCACAAAGGTTTAAATTCGTGGGTCATTGAAAGGTTGACTTAACGTGCTCAAACGCGGGTTAAGAGCTTTCAAACTAAAAGGCTGCGTAGTACTAGACGAAGTTGGAAAAAATTCTAAGCCCGTGACATGTGTCCTCTTTCTTGTAATATTTTGAAAATGATTATAAATTTGTCTAATTCGATACGCAAAACATTTTCGAACATTGCTTAAGGTTAATTTCATCCATTCCACGGTCTACCCCACACCAGCATGTGCCCAAAAAATCTTAAATGTTGCTTAAGTTTCTTAAATTGGACTTTGATGATTAGTAGTTACCTTGTTGAAAAGAAAAAAAAAATTAATGATTGGTTTAGATCATTAATTAATTAAGTAGGGTTCACGCGTTCTTTTGACTTTGGATCTAACAACAATCGTGCAATGTTTTATTTTAACAATTAAGATAAGTCTCTCTTGATTTCCTAAATACCCGGTTTGAACAATCATGGTTTCGCTGGCGGCCATCTTCAATCGCAGATGCAAGTCTTGGGTCAGCGATACATGCTGGCAATAGCTGTACTAAAAAATTATTAATATCGCTACAAATTCAAACATAAAAATAATTAAGTAAATTAACTTTTCCCATTTTGTTCAATATGTTGGGGTTGAAGTAGTCAAAAGTTTATTCAGTTAATAAATCCTATCATTTAGGACATGTAGGTAGAGTGACCATTTCCTTAGCCATTTACCACGTTATTAGGACCTGTAAAACGTGGGTTGTTTGTTTCCAATCTCTTTGTAAGGCTTATATAAGCCAACAGCTTGTTTTGAATAAAACATCAATTCAGATATTTTTTCTGAAATTGCTTTGTGCCTAGAGTTTACAACAATCTGGTATCAGAGCTTGGGGCCTGATTGTGAGAGAAAAGAAACCGTAGTTTCTTAAGAAGAGAGAGAATCGAAGTATGGCAGCTGAAAATAATTTCCTTCAACCTGCAATTCCTAAGTTTGATGGCCATTACGACCATTGGTCCATGCTTATGGAAAATTTTCTTCTTTCAAAGGAGCATTGGAGTTTGGTGGAAACTGGAATCCTTGCTGCAACAGAAGGAGTTGAGCTTACTGAAGCACAACAAAAAACAATTGCAGACCAAAAGCTGAAAGACTTGAAGGTCAAGAATTATCTGTTCCAAGCCATTGATCGAACCATTATGGAGACGATCCTCAACAGAGACACTGCCAAGCACATCTGGGACTCTATGAAGTAGAAGTACCAGGGTTCCACGAGAGTCAAAAGAGCACAGCTCCAAGCTCTTCGGAAGGAGTTTGAGGTTCTACTGATGAAAGAGGGTGAGAGTTTTGATGCGTACTTCGCTCGCACACTCATCATAGCAAACAAGATGAAGATTCATGGTGATAACATGTAGCAAGTGGTGATCATTGAAAAGATCTTGAGATCAATGACCTCAAGGTTCGACTATGTTGTGTGTTCGGTTGAAGAGTCTAATAACTTAGACACCTTAACCATTGACGAGTTGCAAAGCAGCTTACTGGTACATGAGCAGAGGATGAATGGGCATGGAGGAGATGAGCAGGCATTAAAGG